AAGCATAACATGTTCTAATTCTTGTTGGAAGGCCCCTTCTGAGGAAGCTGGGGGTAATGTCTGGTGCACACAGGCTTGGTGTACGCGTGTTTATGCGTCTGTGTGCGTGAGTGCCAAGGACACGGGCTGAAGGGCCTTCCTCCCCATGTTCCTGAAGGGCTCAGACTCCCTCCGACTGCTGGTTCTCAGTCCTGGTGGTACACTGCCTCCACCTGGGCAGCTGATCCAGGCCCCGCCCGGACTAGATCAATTAGAAGTTGGGGAGAAGTCTGGGCACAGGAATTTGTGAGCTCCCTGGTGGAGTCTAATGTGCAGCCAGGCCTGAGCCCTCCTCTCCTGCCTCTGCCCTTCGCCTCAGGCGGGCTGGGCAGGTCACTGCGGTCTTACCCTCTGGATCAAGCTGGCAAACTGCAGGTTTGCTGACTGTGAAATATTTAGGACGGTGCTATAGGCGTTCTCGCCCCTGTTCTCCAGCACGGCCTCCACCGCCACCCGCCGGCGCGTGCTCTCGATGATGAAAACCGTGGTGTCGAAGGACAGCGTGTAGGCGGAGCAGTCCTGAGTGGGCTTCCTCAGCACCCTCTGGCAGTACTCCCTGCAGGACAGAGACCCCCAGGGACCAGGCCGATGGGGGGGGCAGGAGGGGAGACCTTACTCATGCATCACCTCTCTGCTCAGCAACTTGTCCTTTGGCTGCCAGGAAGCTCAGAGCTAAACGCAGAGATCATTCTGATTACTAGCCCAGCGATGGCGAACCTTTTGAGCTCGGCGTGTCAGCATTTTGAAAAACCCTAACCTAACTCTGGTGCCGTGTCACATATAGAAATTTTTGATATTTGCAACCATAGTAAAACAAAGACTTATATTTTTGATATTTATTTTATATATTTAAATGCCATTTAACAAAGAAAAATCAACCAAAAAAATGAGTTCGTGTGTCACCTCTGACACGCGTGTCATAGGTTCGCCATCACTAGCCTAGGTGCTTGGAATATTTGCTTCTTCATCCTTCTACAAGGTTTGAGTGGCTATTTCTATTTTTTTGTATATGTCACAGTGTGTATGTCTTCTATCTAAATCACCTCATAGTTGTTTTAAAAATTGAGCACAAAAAATTTGAAAACATAAATGCAAAATAGGATGTTGTTCTTTCCTTTTCCTTGTAGGCTAGTTTGGGTCTTCCAGGCGATGGCAGGCGCCCTATGCTAGTCTCCTTAGCATGGAGCTCACACAGCCAGTCAATGAACCGTGAAGGTCACCTCGTCTGGGATTGGAGGACGAGGACCTGGATCTCCAGGGCCCTGGTCTCCACCTTTTGTCTGTTTTGTAGTATGAGCTCCAAAGAAAGGATTCCCTTTTCTAAATGAAGTTTGAAGAGGTTTGATTAGACTCGCAGGTTTCATTCTATATAGGAGGCACCTGAGGCCCAGAGAAGGAGGAGACCTGCCTGAGGCCACCCAGGAGTTAGAGGCAGAGCTTGGACTAGACCAGGCTCCAAGTTCAGTATGTGATCCGTGCTGCTTAAGAGAAGGATGTGCAGGGATTAATCCAGGGCCCTGGGGTTCCCAGCCGCACCAGCAGGGAAGGGAGAGGAGTCAGGGAGGGGCAGGGGGAGCCAGACTCACATGGCTGTGGGCAGGTCACTGCGGGCATCCAGCAGGAGGTCAGGGACACAGTGCTCATCCTCATTGCAGCCATTCCAGAAGGGAACCTGGACCGGGGAGAGCCAGGGGGCAGGGGGTGGCTGGGTGGGAAACCCACAGCCTGGAGACCACGCCCCTCACCCCCACAGCACACCAGCTCCTCTACTGCACTAGACACGGGCTTCGTCTTTTCTGCCCCTTTCAGACACCGCACTGCCGTTTCTCATGCTTTTGTGTAGATTTTCCCTTCTTTAAAAGACAGCTCAAAACTCAACTCCTCCTGGGTCCCTCTCAGACCCTAATTGAGCTGGGAGCACAAAGTGCCCACTTCCCCAGCAGGCCCGTTCCGGCGAACACGCACTGATCATCTTCTGTGTGAGTGGCTATCCTAGGGCTCTCGGATGAGGAAGACACAGACTCTGCTCTCAGCTCATGGGGAAGACTGCTGTGTGAACAACTAATTCTAGTGTGAAATGTGCAAAGAAGAAATCTGTATGACGAATAGCAGAGGCGGAGGGAGGAAATGGTTATTTTGTCCTATAGATGGTCAGAGAAGGCGTCAGGGAAGTTCTGAAGGATGAGCCATTAGCGATGGACCAGAGGGAGAGGAAAGTCTTGGAGAAAGGAGGAGCCTGTGCAAAGGTCCTGAGGCAGGAGCAGCATGCGGAGTTTGGGAAACGGCGGGTAGTTTGGTGTCGCTATAGTCAGGGCTGGGGGAGATGGAGAGATGGGCAGGGCCAGTTCCCAGGAGCCTTGGGGCCATGCCTTACAACTGAGAGGACCCACGAACTACTTTTGGCAGGGAGTGAGCTGCCAGACCTGCAGACTGCAGGCCCCCCTGGCTTCCATGGGTGGATGAACTTGAAGAGTCAAGAGCAGAGGCAGGGAGACCTCGAGGAGGCCGCTGAAATGTTCCTGAAGGAGGTGGTGATGCTGTCAGTGTGGCAGTGGGTGTGGAGAGGAGGAAACAGCTCATGGACCTCAGAGAGGGACCAGTAGGCCCTCTGGCTCCTAGGGCGAAGGGAGAAAGGGCCCCGGATGTTGGCCGAGTCTCTCTTTTAGGTCTGGAAGGATGGCCGCACCATTCACTCCTAAGTGGAGGGTTAAGTGGAGGGCATGCTGGCTTAGGGGCACATTCGGTTGAGGGGCATGTTGAGCTTGATGTGCCCTGGCCCACGCAGGCAGCTGGGTACTCAAGTCAAGCCCCTGAGGAGCAGCGACTGTCACTCCCAAGAACTCAGCCCAAGCCCAGGGGAGGGGAAGCAGGTGCCACAGAGGCCAGGTGTATCTTCACTTCATCAACTTTTCTCAAAGGTGAGCTCCTGGCCTTTACTTAGATCAGTGGTTCTCAACCTTGGCTGCACATTAGAATCACCTGGGAATCTTTTTAAAATCCTGATCTCTGGGCCTCATCCTCCGGAAATTCTGTTTCTTTGTTACTAATATTGTGACCCCACCCCATAACAAAGGAACAGAATTTCCGGAGGATGAGGCACAGGAATCAGGATTTTGAAAAGATTCCCAGGTGATTCTAATGTGCAGCCAAGGTGGAGAACCACTGACTTAGATCCACATGCTCATTTAGACACATTCCTATGAAGCCGGCCCCTCGGCTTCCCCATCACAGGGTGGAGTGGTGGGGGGAGGGGAGGAGGAGGACTTGCAGCTAGAAGCAGGCACACTGCAATAGCGCCAGGAAAGAAGACGGCAGAGCCACATGAAGTTGGGCAAAGAGAGGTCATTCTGCGAAGGGACACAATTCAGGACACTTTGGTGGCCTCGGGGGCTTCACTGTATTGTAGCGACCGTGCGTTTAGGTGATTTCAGGGCTCCAACAGAGTCCGTCCCGCCTCTGTCCAGCGTGCTGTACGAAGTGTGGGAACCACATAACAACCTTCGGGAAAATTCCCATCCAGTTCATTAAAAGGAATACTTTCATGTCATAAGCAGCTGTTATACTCAATTATATGGAATGGCTCATTCCCCCACGAGGTCAGTGCTGGGCATTTAACAGAAGCTAAGTAAGCCTGTAGAAGAGTGATGAGGAGAATGTTTCTAATTTGTTGGGGGCGAGGAGTCCAGATGAACAGCATTTCTAGAAGCTTCGCTGCTTCGCAAAGCCCTCAGTAGTGTGCCCCAGACGGTCTTCTATGGCTTGATTTCTCACCCTCTCTTTACACATCTCTTCACCTTGCTGCTTTCCATTTTCCTGACAGTGCTCCTGGAGCGAAGCCCATCCTCCTCATCTCTGCACATCATCCGTTAAGATCTAGTCAAAAGCCACCTCCTCCAGGAAGCCCCTCCACCCTATCATCTGATTGCTCCATTACACGTCCTCGGAGCTCTTCGACCTGGCCTGGCCGGTGACGCTTGTCACCAACTTGCATCCAGGTCACTGGTGTCAGAGCACTGAGTACCCTGCACATGGACCTGCATCAGGTGCTTCCGTGTGTACAATGAGTGACACATAGTCAGTCATGTGCTGTCATGGCTTCGTAATTACTGTGATGGGGAAAACGTTGATGACTTGGTGCACCCAGCTCGTCCCGTCTCCTGGCGTTGTCAGTCCAGGTCTCTCCCGCTCTACTGCATTTTAAGGCTGCCTCTCTCTTACGCATTTGTGACTCAGGAGCAGGAGGGAGAGGGCAGTGTGAAGGCTGAGGGTCGGGCAGCAGAGTGTGGGAGGTCTGGGAAGAGGCGATGCCGGGGGAGGTAGGGGACTTGATCGTGGTGAATGGAAGCAAAGAGGGGATTTTCAGAAGTGATATTATTGGAACCCTGTTATGTTGGAGAAACACAGGTGAGAACATGAATTGAGTATCTGAAACTGTTTGCCGGCTGGATTCTGTGCAGTCATTCTCAGAGACCAGACCTCGCAGGTCACCGTCTTGAGAGCCTTGTGGTCTGTTTAGAGCTGTTTCCTAAATCCCGAGGGCTCAGGTCTGAGATCCTGCCGTTTACATATCTGCCTGGTTTCCCAGCGCAGCTCGCACAGAATGGCACCGGCTGACATCTCCTCTGAGTGGGACCCGTAAGGAGTGGCAGGTGTCGGAGCTCGTGTCAGGTTTCAGAACATTCCGATGCCCCTCGAGCCAGGGATTAGAAAACGTGGGTGAGGGCGGGGCCAGAGCCCAGGATGAGGCGAAAGCACCTGTTTTTGGAAAACTTAGGAGCAGGTGGGAAGGGTGTCTGCTCTCAGCCAGTCAGTCATTCAACAAGCCGCAGACCAGGCCCTCTCGGCCTCCAGGGCCTCATCTGTAAGCGAGGCAGCGATGAGCTCTGAGGCCCCTCATCCTGTGACCCACTCAACACTCACCCTGTGCTGGGGTACAGGGCGCCTCCAATAGGAGAAGGCCTGGTCCCTCCTCCTCAAAAGATGGTTCAGCACAGGCCACAGGGAGGCGGGCGGGAGCGTGTTGCGGGTTTGCGGGCAGGGGCAGGGGGAGAATTCCTTCGGGGCTGCCCCCTCGGGTCTGGGCCTCCGGAGGAGGTAGGGGCGCGGCTGGGGCATGCATCGGGGTTGTGCGCCCTGTGTGCCAGGACGTACCGAGACTCTGAGGGTGGTGGGCCAGCCATCGTCCAGCATGGGGCCGTGGTCGGGGTCCTCCAAGGAGTACTCCACCGAGAAGGCCACTGGCTTCACGTAGTCAGCGGTGTCCTGTGCGGGAGGAGGTGAGGACGGTGAGGGCAGAGGGGACGTCCGTTCCTGGGCCGGGACCACTGAGAGGGACGTCACCTCCCTAACCGGGAGGGCAGTGCCCTGTGGGCCCTCAGCACGAGGACGGGGTAGGGGAGCTGCCGTGGGGGCTGGAGGTTGCCAGTCGGGGCCGCAGCTGGAGAGTGTGTCTCCTGGACAGGCCCCTGGGCTCGGCCAGTGGCAACCTGGCTGCTTTGTGTCTCCCCAAGCTCCTGCTCATTCCTCATGGCCGGGCACCCACCTCCCAACACCTCCACCTCCAGGAAGCCGGCAGCACCCATCCCCACATCCTGTCCAGACCCGCCACCGCCACCGCCACATGGCTCTCAAGCTCCTGGTTGTGTGTCGGTCCTCCTCCCTCCGAAGCCTCTTAGCACAGGCCGGGCACAGTGACAGGGCTGACTCAGTGTGTTAAACCCATGAAGGCACAGCCTGTGGCCAAAATAGGGGTGATTCCGGCTGGTCTGTCTACAGATGGTAAGAGGGATGCTTGGAGGGGCCTAAAAAACCTCCCCCGAGGGAACCCCGATCCTGACATGCGTGGCTTCTTTTTATTAAGGCCGTAGCTCCCACACGGGAGGAGCTGCAGGGTCCCCGGGATGGGGGGAGGGCTGTTAAGACACTGAGTCCCACCCCCAGAGCTTCTGGTTCAGTAGGTCTGGGATGGGGGTTGAAAATGTGCCTTCCTAACAAGGTCCGGGGTGATGGGGCACAGCTGGTCCCGGGGCCACACTCTGAGGCCCCGTTACCAGGACCTCAGAAGAGGCCCCCTGTTAACAGGCGCGAGGGCTTCTCACCCACTAGCTTTGCTGACTGTGCCCATTGCTTCCTGGGGCAGGGGGGCTCTGAGCGCCCATGCTTGTGTCCCTGAGGCTGAGCTGTGGCCTGGGTACTTGGTTTCTTTATCCATTAAATGGGGCGCCAGGCCCTCATGGGTTCTCCCTCTCTGCCAGGCTGGCCTCTCTCTGCCCCTCCTCCCAGCTTGTCCACCTCACTGGCCTTGCCTGGTCTTCATTTTAATCGATGCCTGCTTATTCTTTTTTTCCAAGCCACGGTCCCTGCTGGCTGACCCTGCTCTTTCCACTAGACCTCACTGAGCGCACCCACTCCACGTTTCATCCCCTGCTAAGGAAACAGTGGGCGCTTGAGAGCTGGGGAAGAAGGAATTTCGGGGGAGGGTGCTGTCAGTGTAGGCGGAGTGTCCCCATGGCCTTTTCTCTGGGGCCTGAGTGTGGGGTGGCCATGGTCTAGGGCACTGCCCACTGGCTGGCCCCCTGAGGGCTGCTGGCACCGGCTGAGCAATCTGACTCTCCTGCGGCAGCACCCCCATCCCAGCTCCGTGTCCCCTTCCTGTGGGAACTTGGGTTCTGCTAGTGGGGCTGCAGGGCGTCAGGCTCACCAGGACATGGAAGCTGATCCGGTCACAGTGCTCCTGGCCGGAGGAGAGCAGGACAGCCCTGTTTGTGTATCGGTCCCCGCCCTCATCCAGGTGGGCTCGTGGCGTGTACCGCCTCTCATCCATGGTGGCATTGTACCTGATGCCTGCAGGAGGGAGAGGGCAAGACCATGAAGTGAAGCCACATTTCCACCCAAGACTGTTTGCCTCTCATTTAAAACAGCCTCTGGAACGTCAGCCTCCTCCAGGAAGCCTGCCAGGCTGGCCAGCAAAGAGCTGCTCCTCTCCCCTCAGGAGGCCCAGTGTGGGCAGGAAACGCCCATGCAGAGAGCAAGCGACGACGAAGGAGAAAGGAGTAAAGAAAGGAACCGAAGAGAAGAGGAAGGCAGAGGAGGAGGAAGGGAAATGAGGCTGACAGTGAAGGGA